CCTGTCGAGCCTGTTGCCCCGGTCAAGCCTGTCGAGCCTGCTGCCCCGGTCAAGCCTGTCGAGCCTGTTGCCCCGGTCAAGCCTGTCGAGCCTGTGAAGCCTGTCGAGCCTGTCGCCCCGGTCGAGCCGGTCAAGCCTGTTGAGCCAGCCAAGCCTGTCGCCCCGGTCGAGCCGGTCAAGCCTGTTGAGCCGGTCAAGCCTGTTGCCCCGGTCAAGCCTGTCGAGCCAACTGCCCCGGTCAAGCCTGTCGAGCCGGCCAAGCCTGTTGCCGCTCCTTCGCCATCCAAGCCGACCGAGCAGGCCACTGCTCGGCCCAGTTGGCTGCGTGATCGGCCGCCTGTCGCCAGCGCTGCCCTCGTTTGGTCCTCCTCCGACGAGGAGGACAACGATGTCGGCATCTTCTCGCCGAAGGCAAAGGCCTCCGCCGCCCCGGTCTCCACCGCCACCCAGCCCGCCACCTCTGCCCCTGCTCCGGCCTCTGTTCCCGCCCCGGCCGCCAAGCCCGTCGCCCCGGCCGCCAAGCCTGCTGCTGGTGTCCCCTCCTCGGCTCCGGCTCCCACGGCCACCGACCTCGACGCCGTGACCTACATCCGCAAGGTCTTCCAGGGCGACGACCCGAGTGTGTCTTGGGTCCTGCTCAGCATGAAGACCGGCGCCCCGGTGGTGGTGGCCACCGGCGCCGGCAACACCGACGAGATTGTCCCCTACTTCCGTGACAACGAGGTCTTCTATGGCTACCTTCGGACCCACATCGGGTGCGTACATTCCGCCTGCTGTCCCGGCCCCTGGCCAGCCCTGCTTTTGCCTGTTCGCTGGGACCCATTTTGGCTGACACCCCTTGCCATGTGCCCTGCTTACCTCGGATGGCCAATGCCCCCGGCTCTTCCTCTCCCCCAGGGCGGAGAAGCGCATCAAGCATGTGCTCCTGCGCCTGGTCGGCGAGTCCATCTCGCCGATGCAGCGTGCCAAGACCGTCCAGGACACGGCTCTCATCACCAAGGAGTACATCACGGTGCGTCGAGAGATGGGCCGGCCATTTGCCCCCCTCATCCGTCGACTCCCGGCTCGGCCCCGGGCCTTTGTCAGTCTCTCACCCTCCTCTCCCCCATATATGTGGCCCGTAGTTCCACCACATCGAGGTCATCGCCAACCAGCCGGAGGACTTCAACCATGAGCTGGTGCTGGACCTGCTGCGCAAGGCCGGCGGCGCCAACTACGACAAGCTGCAGAATGTCGATGTCGCGAACTCCGATTCCGCCGAGCCCTTCGCCTTCAGCTCCATGCACTCGTCGGCCAAGCAGTTCTACTCGCAGATCGAGCGTGAGGGGAATATCAAGGGCACGTATTTATGCTGCTGCTGCTGCTGTTGCTGCTGCTGCTGCTGCTGCTGCTGCTGCTGCTGCTGCTGCTGCTGCCGCCGCCGTCCCTGGGTCCGGCCGCCGCTGGGCACCCAAATTGCTCGGTTGCCTGCGACGCCGGCGCCAGCCATCGCCCGCTCTGCATCCCACCTGCCTGATCGCATGCCCTCGCTGACCCGCCTTTTTTTCCTCCCCCTCAACCATCATGACCTCTCCGGGTGATCCTCACTTTCGCGACTCGCTCCCTGACACTTAGCCGTCTACGACACCGGCCCCTTGTCCATCACTCCGGTCGACCTGAGTGGAAGGGCCACCACCATCAGCGCCTCGGCGCTGCGGACCAACCTGAAGTTCGATTGGTGAGCCGGCCCCGCGGCATGTGCCCCCCACGGAACACGTGGCGGCCCGGGCTCTCTGTGGACCATTCTCCACATTCCATGCATTCGACATACTAAATTCAACTGCACTCCAGGCCGTCCGGTCGTCACCTTTGCGTTAACATTGTTCGAAGGGGCCCGGCCCGCGGGCTGGTGGCCTCCTGAAGTTAATAATATTCGTCCGTTGGCAGCGTATCGCGGGCGTGGATCGCTGTGCCTTCGCGAGACTGCCCACGGAAAATCCGGGCCCCAGGTTTGGTGCACTGTCCAGGGAGCCGGGCGCCCGCGCTCCACCATGAGTGATATGCTGGCCCGAGCCCGGGGGCCGGAGCCGGGGGGGGGGGGGCGGGCGCGGCGCCTTGGGGGGAACCTCCCCCGGCCGAGAAAACACCGTCTGGCTGCTTTGACGCCCAAGGGGGCGGGACGCGCGCGTGCCGAAAGGCCCAGTCCCCATGCCCAAGGGCAGGCTGGCTCGGTGCGGGGGGCTGGGCGGCGCACACGGCCCGCGCGCGGATGTCCCTGGGCACCGGCCGGCACCAGGGCGGGGCCAAGGCGGCGCGGCCGGGCCTCGCCCGGAAGAAAAGGGCCCGTGTCCAGGCACCGCCAGTGGATTCCATTACAGGAAGGCCCGAGCTGGAGAGGTCCGCTTCGGCTGCCAGGGGCTGGTTGTGTCACATACGCGCCGGTCTATTCCCGGGCCCGGGCCATGCTCGGCGGGGCGGGGGGAATATTTCGTCCTCTGCGGGGAGATTTGGTTTGGTAATGCCCCCCCCCCCCCCCCCCACGCCCCTGCGCCCCCGTTGCCGAATGCCGTATGCCGGTGCACCAGTGCGCCATTGGGGCGGTCCGGCGCCGATTGCGTGCGCACCACGGTCACCGGTAGCAGGGCCTCCTGGCGCCCCGCCCCCAGCTCTCAAGGCTCCCTCGCCCCCCCCCCCGCCCCCCCCCGGCTATCGCACATACCGGAGTCTGGGGCGGGGGGCGGGGGAATACGACATGCGGATGGGGGTGGATATGTGTGCGCCGGGTGCGCGGGTCTCCGAGCTCGGTGGGCGAAAATCAAGCGAGATACCACGCCTCCCGACCGGATCGAGGGCGTCCTATCTGCGCCCCGCCCCGCCCCGCCGTCCGGCCTTTCGCACGCGTTTCAGCACGGCGCAGCCGGGCAGCGCAGGCGGCACCTCAGAACGCGGGGCCAGACGTTCGGGGCACGGTTGACCGAAGGTGACCCCGGGCTTCGAGGACATGCAGGATTCCGTGAAGAGCTCATCATCAGCGCAGGGGCCCAGCCGATCGACCCTCCGGCCACTTCGGAGAGATAGTTCATCCCGGCACGGCCCCGGATCGGCCCCTGGGCCCGGCCGATCGGCGCCTCATCATCACCCTTGCCTTCGTGGGGGGGGGGGGGATTCGTAGGCGCTTCGAGCGGCAAAAAAAATCACAACCGATCAGCCCGGGCATCTCTACACCTTACCGGGGGTGATCAGCAGGCTGGGCTTTCTCCGACAGGCTCCTTTGGCCAGCGCGTTGATCTCTGCCCCGCCCCCCCCCCCCCCCCCCCCCCCCGCCTCGCGGGAGGCACCCCGGCGCGTGAGCGAGGCAGAGACCCCCAGGCGACCATTGGCCCGGGACATGTCCATCCCCGCTGCTGCGCCCTTCCCTCTCCATGCCCGTGCCACCCGCGCCACACATGCACCCTTGCATGTGCACATTCGCGCGCGGGCGCGGGCGTGCCCCCCCCCCCCCCCCGATTGCCCGACAAACGCGGCGCCCTTCCCCGGGCACATTCGGCGCCGCCCAGGTCTCCTCCCGATCGGTGGGGCCTCCGCTGGCCCCGGCTGGTCAAACGTCTCACACGCCCCACCGCCCTCCGGGACCTTCGCCCCGGGTCACATTTATGGGTCGCCACGGCGGGGCCAGCCCGCTTGAACCTTCGCCATCTTCCCTCGCCATTTGCTCCCCGCCC